TCAGCCAAGGTTGCAGTTGAGAGTGGTGTTCCCCAAGGTTCCGTTCTCGGCCCTAATTTGTTCATTGCCTACATGAACGATTGCGTCAGCAAACTGGATTGCGGTATCACCTTGTTCGCCGATGACATCAAACTTTGGTGCGAAATTCGAACTGCGGCTGATGAAGAGTACCTGCAGACAAATTTAAATCGACTCTAAAAATGGGCTAAGGACTGGCTCTTGCCGTTGAATGAGAGCAAGTGCAACATCATTCGAGTCGGCAAAATCAGTCCTTCAAACATTACGATTAACCGACTAAACGGCATACAACTGAATAAAGTGAATGCCCAGAAGGCCTTAGGAGCCTGGATCACACCTTCGCTTAAACCCTCCCTGCATTGCGCAAAGGTAGCCAAGTATGCGATGTCGGTTCCGTACCTCAGCAAGCGAGCTTTTGCTGCCTACAATGACGACTGCTTCACCAAAGTCTTCGGAACCTTCGTGCGGCCGCAGCTGGAGTCCGCTATCCAAGTTTGGAGACCCTGGGCGGCGAAATGCATCAACATCCTCGAAAAGGTCCAAAGGCCCGCAACCAAACTTGTTATGCGTCAGGGCTCGCAGTTTTATGAAGCATGGCTGTCGAATCTTAACCTCTTTCAATTGCAATACAGGCAGCTTCGGGGGACCTGATACTAACATTCCGCATATGACGAGTTCAGGACTGTTGTCTTATATCAGAAGGTTTTTTAGTGTTAGCAACAACAAAAAACGTGAGAGGTCATCCTCTCAAATTACGTGTAACTGGGGCCAGGCTGGACGCTCGGAAGAACTGCTTCTCCAAGAGGGTGGTCGAAGTTTGGAATAGTCTTGCTTTGCATGTCGTTATGTCGAAATCTCTTGAGGTTTTTAAGCGAAAGTTGGATCGATATAGCAGTGCGTGCTAAATATGAACTGACCGCCGCCGCCGACCATTTAGTTATAATACTACTATATTTAAGTAACACCTGTATATGCTCTTTTTCACAGGATCAGGTTCTCCCATTCGAATTTCGCCATGGTTTCCCCTATTTGACGACTCCATCAGCGATTGCATCAGCCTAACCTGGCGGCCTAAACGCTCACCACTGGTTCAAACCGCAGCTGACTGTGGGCGATCTGGGCAGATATTTCTGTTTTTCCAACCTGCCGGTGGACTCTGCAATCAGCAAGGAAGTATCAGGCCGCATCTTACGCACTCGGCGATGATCCCGGTGACCTCTTCAATGCCCTTCCCCCTATTGTACCCTCCCCCCACGAGCGGACGTTTTTTCTCCTAAGCCCCATACCCCATCAGAGCCTCCCCCGCAAGAGCGACAATTTTTCTCCTTAAAAATCCCAAGGTTTTTTTTCACTGTCTGCCCAAAAAACGATGTACCACCTCCTGGATCGCGACAATTGGCCTCGCCAACAAACTGAGATATCACTTTTGGTACCACGACGCATACGTAGAAATAGGGAACTCAAAGGCAATCCACCTATACATACCTTAAATACACTGATACTGATACTGAAGTTCGTACAAACAGCACTCCCGATTTTCTGTCATTTTTGGAATAGCGACAAGTGTGGTCTTCAATCGGACAGCTGTAAAAAAGTCTGGAATACGACTACAACCAGTAATTTATATGGGTTCAAAATAAAAGAACACTTGGAATGACTTCTGAGTAATAATTTGTAACAGAAGGCAGACCCCTGTAAAATGTTAAAAAGTAAGTATCAAAAAGATAAAGAAATATGAAAATAAATCTTCAGTTCAGTCTTCATTCGCTAGCCCATATATTGGATTGCATTAAACCAACTGGCGCCCTCCGCCGACACTTTTTGCCGTCGTTTAACTTCTGCAGGGTCTTTGGTTTTCGCTCCTGGCGTTTTTCGCAAGTTTGAATTCTGAGCAGCGGAAGTAAGCAAACGAAACTTGTGGAGGCTACACAACGTACCAAATGTACACTAGCATGAACTTATAGAACATTTTATTAACAACAATTAGACAAGATCGGAAAATAGGGTACATCCTCGCTAATACAGACAACCATGCGCAAAATTCCAGGAAGCATAAATATGACGGAATCACAATATTTACACCACACCAAACCAAAGCTTTAATCTTAACTCTAACTTCAACCAAAACCTTACGTGAACGCTAACTCTGATTTCAGTGTAAAGCCCACATTTACCCTTACCAAAATTCTACAATAATTCCAAACCTTAACCCTAACATTAATCTTATTTCTCGCCTTAGCACTAACCACAAGCTCCCTTGAAACGAGGGAAAGTCCCCTGTGATGGAAAAGGTCCTCTTTTCGTGTCCTGCCAGCAAATTCTCTCTGTAAAACCGCACTCAGGTTCTAATAACAAAGGGATTTGCAAATTTTTTGAGCTCCAAAATGTTGATTTTGAAATTGACTGTAACCAGCTGACTAATTAGACAATGTGACCTCTTAGATTTGATTTTATCCAGTTAGCAAATGTCCACTTATGTTTACGAATGACGTCACTAATTAGGAAAGTCTGAAGCTCACAGTGCCTGCAAGATTTAAATAAACTTCAGCGGCGTGGTCCCCAATTATATAAAAGTATCTTCCCCGAGCACATATCGTGGTCTGAGTATAACTTATTCTTATACAAAAGCAGCAACTACTAAAATCAGAGTCTGAGGTTTTATGGGCAAGTGCTGAAATTAACTACTCAGATATTTTATGGTTGGAAAAATTGATTTGACCGTCTACGTACACTGTGATTCAAAGCTGTCAGTGTTAGAAGCCCAATGATATTATTTGAGCAAAATGAAAGTAGTTTGACAAGGGCAGGGAAACCACATGTCCTTCGCCTGAGTCACGGATGACTGACGAGTTCACTTAGTCAAAGGTTTGCTTACCTGTCAAAAGCACATCAACTGGCTTGAACGCTATACGAGTGACCTTTGTTATAATGTTCCATCCAAAATAAAGGCAATATTTGGTAGCATAGTGCTCACACTGAACTACCGTGTAGGACTAGCAACTCCATTTAAAGTAGCCGGCTTAATACTTGAGTGAGCAAAAGTAGCTTATGTAGGTCCACTCATATACCCCTAATCCCAGCATTTTTTCCCGCACAAAATGGTGGTTATAGAGTTTTGGGGCGTGGGGGAATAGAAAAGGCAGAAAAGGAAATTTTTGGAAGTAAATGTCAAGTGAAAAAAATGTAGTCGAAATTGCTTCCCGCGACCGCTGGGGTAAGTTGTTCCGCATGTTAACTGAAGGTGTGCGCGGCGCTTGGCGCCGCGGACTATACTAATATAACTCCAGA